CCTTTTAAGTATGATATCATGTTGTAAGTGGGTTAATTTTTGCCAAAAAGGCTCACGTGCTGTTCTAGTTAAGTTTAATTAGGATAGGAAACATTAAGCTAAAAAAAGATGCCTGTAGCTGGGGCATAACCTAAATTTATTCACAAAAAAAATTCCATATTGTTCGTGCTAGTTAAGTGCACGTGAATTTAAATACGTTTAAGGCATTAAAATTTGCCATTCCCTCTAAAAATCCCAGCAAAAACATATAATATAATGGCGTTAATATAATGCAGAATGTCACTTCTTCTAGAGCCTTTCTCTTCTAGAGCCTTGAAAGGCTCTAGAAGAAGTGACATTCTGCATTATATTATGCCTTACAAATTAAGTTTTTTGAATGTTTTTCTGTAAAAATGCATCAATATCGTGCCTCAATTGTTACTACAGTAGCACAATGCCGAAATAACACCAGATTGCTACTATAAGAGCAGAATCTTTCGCCTCTTTCTTAGCTTTCACCCTTCTAAATTATGTTTATAGTGAATAAGATTGTTACTGTAGTAGCACAGTTTACACACACGTTAGGAACAAAGCTAAACTCAAACCTCTGTTTATAATACGAATTTTGCTCTCTCATTGTACTTAGCAGTGCCTGATAGCTATCAATTATCATTACTTCCAAATTTATTACTGTAATAGCATTACTTTGATAATTTTACACAAGAAAACGAACAAAATTTTTGCTTTTCATCACATAAAAACCTACTTTCTCGAACTTGCCAAGTATTCACCTTAATAAAATTATTACTCTAGCAGCACAAAACACACTTTACATTCGTTATAACATGTGTATTCTGTGCTTCTACTGCTGCAAAATTGATTTTACCCTCCTTTTATTATCTACAAATCGAGCTATCTGATACTCCCTGTCAAATTTATTACTATAGTAGCACCACTATGTAGATAACCTCACAGCTCAAAACCTCATATTCTCTAGATTTAAATACTATTCTAACAAGTGAGGTTATCAACCTCACTACTAAGAAAATTGTTACTATAGCAGCAAATTTAAACAAAGATACACTTTCGCTGACTGGAACAAATGCAAGAATGTTAATTTTACAAGCAAGCTAGCTCCCCCCCCAAAGATCCAAATCTGTCAAACAAGCTCGTGCTAGAAATTATTACTATAGAAGCACTCACTTTACTACCTGATACGACTTCAAACACCTCATATGCGTGTGTAATTTATTGTTATATTTTCACTTACCTATCTATTCCTTCCAGATATATACTTTATACTTTATTACTATAGAATTAGCAACTGTAGTAGCATAACTAACTACTCTTTCATCCCCCAGAAGACGAATACAGGCCTATACTTTAAATACCCAAAATTACTACTGTAGAAACAAGAAGGGTTTCATACTTAAGTTTACAAAGATAGAAGCTACCAGACACTCGAGCCGTGTAGTAGAATTGTTACTATAGTAGTACAACCCTCTCATTCCAAATTACTACAGGGACATAAATCTTATACACAAGATTGTGTCAAACAAAATTTTTTAATTTACTACTATAGAAGTAAGCTGCTGCCATAGTAATAAGGGGCTAAAATCATGACAGAACTATAGGAAAGAATAATAGAAAATTTCTTGCAGGCAGTAGTTATTACTGTAGAAGCACATCACCTTCAGAATTATTACTATAGTATCACTGCTTCTGTTTCCTGTCAAGTATCGTAACATAACTTACCATTACTACTTATTCGAGCAGCAAACACGAGTTTCTTGTATAAATGGCAGCACACTAACACTCGAATGTACTGTTGTACAACAAAATTGTTACTGCAGTAGCATACGAGACCGAACTGAGTATAAATTATGACATCGCCTACACTTTGTCCTACACCACGAAAGGGTGTCACCAAAGCATCAAAAACACTAAACATTACTAACACAATTTTACAATTGATTAGGAACACTACACTAAATCTTACACCAGAAATAATTTTAAGTGTGACAATCGATACAATTGTTACTATAAAGCAATCAAGACAGTTTTTTCTCTTGAACACATCGCATCAGAAACACTGGTGTACTTAACAAGATTATTACTATATTAGCACGCGTAGAGCGACCTTTCAGGGGTGTATATTGAGGGGGTGGGTGGGGGAATTAAAGAGCCTGTAAACTTTAAGAGCAAAGTGGTAATCAAAATAAGCATATATGAGGTCGTAACTATCGATAGTTGTAACAGATTTAGGAACCATTTATCAATTGTTTAAGTGTTCTCGATGTCAACCTCCCGTGTTCTTCAGCAATAAGAAGTTGAAAATATTATATATTATGGCATACATAATGTTTAAAAGATCGACAGAAGGTCGCCATGTTTATTAGTTTTGTCAAATGCCTTACACTTATGTAAATAATACTTTCATAATGGCATTAGTAAGCTGCATCTTGTTTGTTCTTCAACCTAAAGCAAACAATACTTTTATTTGATTTACGCACAAAAATTTTAAGCTTTTAACATATATTCTATTAAAAATTTACAATGTTTTATTGTTTCCTTACTTGTCAACTATGTCTAGACGTAATTACGTAAAACCGGTACGTAGTTTAAGTCATTTTAACGCGTCCGCATTATTTTATGTCGCGTGTACACAATTAAAATGGAGCGATAAATAAGATTGTATTAAAGATGCAACTAAACTTTCTTCAGTTTCTTAAAGAAGTCTCAATGCTCCTTAAGGTTTCTTAGAATAAATAAAATTAACTAATTAGTTAGTGAGATAAACAGCTTAAACCTGTTAAATTACTTTTGCCCATGTAGCAGTTGTAATAATCAATTAAAATTAATTCTAATTTAGTAGTTACGCGTGAAACATGTTTACAGTGAAGTTTATTTAATAAAAGTTTACATATTTTTTTTAATTTCTTGTAAAAATGTATGTCTTTTACTCTTTTATTCAAGAAAAACGATCATAGATAAAGTAAGCGGCATTGACATATATTGAATAAATCTCAAAATAAGGAAAGGTTAACAAGACAAAACTGTTTATAATTTTTCATAAACTACTATATTAACATTTATACATAAAATTTATAGTCATATGACCTAATTTTAACTTTATTTGGGCCTGTAAACTAGTGGAATTGAAGACTTTTAACCATAGCAAAGGTGTAAACGATCAATTAAACAAAACCGTACCTTCAGGCTGTATTGCCTAATACTAAATATAACGTCTACAGAGTAAAGAGCCTGTGTAGCATATAAAATAATCTTATAGTTATAAATTTATATAGAAATAAGTAAAGTTTTTACAACGAAATGCCTACAGGCTAAGCCAACCTCTGAGCAAATTGTATAGATCAAGACCAATTACTATCACTGTAAATCACCTGAGCGTGTAGGAGAAGAATAAATTTGCCTGATCGAGACACTGATAAGGCTCAGATATCGTTATCCAACTCTATAATTAACTTGGTATCATTATCCATCTTTATAGAACTACTTTGTTACAAGAGAAACCTGAATCAATCTACCAAAAATAGTGTTTGAAATTAGATAAGGCTCAGGGAGAGCGAGTAAGAGAGATGCGTTATCTTCTTCTTCCCTATAATTTTTTTTACAAGAGGTAATTTAGTGACTCATTCAAGTTACTAAATTGTTACGACTCATTAAAAAACAGTAGAAGAGCCTTAAAACACTTTAACGAATAGAGCCTTTCAGCTTATATCTTAAACATGTTTAAAATGCGTAAATAAATAAAACCACACGCTTTAAACATTCTTAACGTTCTCCTAAAAGTGAAGCGTATTGTGAGCCTTAAATTTAACTTTAAAGAGCCTTAAAGGCTTGAAATTCTGAGAGAACGTAACCTATATCGATGCAACTCTTGGTAAGAGATCTATAACCCGAAGCGAGCCTCAAAATACTAGAGATAACATTCAGACCTCGAATCTCAAGTGTATATTCGAGAGAGCCTGTTTAAGGAGTTCGGCCATATTTTTTTCTAACAGTTTTTTTAGATGCATATCTTAAAAAAATTGCTTTTTCAACCCGATAGTGATTTATGATAAATGGTAAACGCAGAAATCATAAATCATCTTCGTTTTCATCCAACACGAGCGGGAGATAAGAGGGATGGATGCAGATAATCTTGGCTCTAGGAGGACCATTTGGTTTATTGCCCGTTGTCATCATTATCATGTATAAAAGGCAAGGCCTAGTAGGCAGTAAAGTCCTAGAAGCGCGTGTAGTTGTGACACGATCACGGTGGTCGCAGCAGATACAAGAGAGAAATGGTTCGTAAACCCCCCTTCTAAAACATACACCCGTGATAAAATAACGACTCATATCAGAAATTTATCATTTTGTATAAAATTTCCAGCCTGTAGGCACTTAGAATACTTTCAGAGCCTGGCACATATTCACTTCTTTAAGGCTTCAGTTATAATTTAAGGCTTTGCAATCTTCTAAGGCCTTCAGGTAAGTCGGATTTAGATTTTTTTAAAAATATAATAATATATTCATATAAGGGGCCCTATTCACTTTGGGATAGAAATGTATTGAAATTGAAGAATCTGCGTTTGAAGAGTGGAAGAGGGATTAAAAAATTTGATTATCCGAAAGTAAAAGTAAAAGATTTATTGCCAGATTTGATAAGAATTATGAAGGAAGTGGAGACTTTTTTCTCTGTTTAAACCGCTGCACTTCCTACAGGCTAATAGAAACTGTGGGCCTTTTGTGACGCGGTTTGTCGCCCGATAGACACACCTTAAAACTTCTCCCGACCTGTCATTCACATTCTAATGAGATAGGGGTCGTTCCCCAAAGCAAATGATCCGTTCCCAAATCGGAGAGCAAAAACGGTTAACAGAGACTGTTTTATAACAATAGAATCGCGGTTTCTGTGGCCGTCACGAGAGAACCACCCCCACTCTAGCAAGGGGTAGAAGCCAAGCTCCCCCCTCTATACAATAAGATGCATTTTTAAAGTTAAAGGGTCCACCAACCTGCGATAGCCATCCAGGGATAGAATGCGTTGGTGGGTACTTGAGCCACTGCTGGACTCGACTGACAGCACTGGTTCCACGATTCAGACACTCGAGCAGCTGTAGCTTCACTTCCATAAGTCGTACGTAGTGGATCGCTCAGGCTAGCGGTCCTGACTCCTGACCAGGCGGCCATTTCTTTCACCGCTTGCTGATAGCCATTCTGATCTTTAACCAGGCACTCGGGCTTAAAGACCGCACCGGTATCCCCTCCACCCGTGTATAGTTTGCAAGATGTTGCTGCTGCCGCTGCTGCTGTTGCACCAGCTTCACCGTAAGTGGTATCGTGAGCCGACCTTGCACCAGTCGCTGGTGGATAAGGTTGGACAAGTAAACTCTGTGGATAACGATACGATTGCTCTGTTGTAGTTTGTCCGTTGTAGAATCCACCACTCTGTTCAAAATACGTGTTCATCATCTACTGTAACTAACACCCCACCGCGGTACTACTCTCCACATCGGGTTTTGAATTTGTATTTTTTACCTCACTACACTGTGCTGGATTAAATTTGGTCATGGCTGTAGGGTCGGCCTCTCCTTAGGCATGAACAAACCCACCAATAGGAGAGCCGCTCACCGAACAGCAGCTTACGTCCTGCCTGTATCCTGCCGCCATTGACTGGATGCTGGAGGGGGGTGGGTCTACTCTACCTCCTGGTTACAAGGGGACAAGATAGTTCCCATATCTAATCCTTTACACAATGACGGATCATTTGCATTTCTATATCTATAATTATTTTACGAGCCGACACCTATATTAATCTTCTGTTGCCCTCCCTTTTAATATCCGAGACGTTTATTTACTGCTCCTCGTAGTAAATGTCGATCGTAACGAGGCAGTAATAATTCGAAACAAAGGGTCACGTGATTTACGCATCGCTTTGCTGCTTCAACCTGATGCCGGATGGTTGATGTTATGGCTCACTTTGGTAGATATATAGCGCCGTAACCGTGATACAACCCTCTACAATTGCTATTTCATTATATAGAGCCTACAGAAAAAAAAAGGAAAGTATGCCTTTTTTTCCTTCCGACGCTCTTAATAGATTTTTAATTTGCCTTACGTAAACAATTAAGGCTGTGTTTTAGTGTTTAAATAAATTAAAATAAGGCACCACGCGTGCGGTGACAATGAAATTTATGCTTTTGTGGCTATAGACGAGGCCAATTCCTATGTAGTTAGGAATGTTAAGGCTCCAAATTTATATATCTAAATCATTTCGATCTCTTCCGAGCTTTTGAAACTTCATAAAATGGTTTCGTGGAATAATAAGGCATGGATTATTAAAAGGTAAGCCTTATTCGTGAGATAAATAAGCTCATAAATCGAAATTTTATGAAAGAATAAGAAGGGAATAATAGGAGAATCGAAATTTTTTCATAGGCTTACATTAAAAGCATCTAGAAATCTTAGAAAAGGCAACCGAAAAACAACAAAAACACAAACATCTACCATTTTTGACAGATGGACAGATGTGGGATCTGCAAGCTAACTTATTGTCTGTAACACATTCATTTTACTTCCCTGCCTCTCCGGATAGCGATAGGACCGGATCTTTCGGGGCGCTGCTTCCATCAATCCATGTTACATTACAGGGCAACCCTCCCCCAAGCCCTATGTTTGGATCGAACCACAGTCAGTTTCCGGCCGTGGAGGGGGGGCTGTCTTACCCTGATCCCAGTCAAAATTTATGGACTATGCACTAATCCATATATCACGAGTTCTAGAAAGTCAGTGTTTTCACTTTCCGCCGTTCCTCAGGCATGGTGGGTGACCAGTCACATACACAAAAACTTTCCAGGGTAACAAATTTTAATTCTCCGTCTGAAAATTTGTAACCACCAACTATACAATTAGATTAGGCCACAAAGAATCCGAAAATGAATGGGGGGTTACCCCTCAGGTATAAAAGAGGGCTGTGCAAACACAAGAGTGGTCCTAACTTAGTGGGGATTCTTATAAAGCTCTCTGTTCTGTCATCGCGTCATATATACCATAAAGAATTGTCTCTGTAAGGCCTCTTTTCAATGAAAACTATGCCTCGATCAATCCTGATGATATCTATTCTTATAACATATAATTATGACGTTTCAGTTTCATTTCGTGTTTTAGAATGTTTCATTTAGCTCACATTCTAGAACGTTAATGTTCTACAACATTAAGGACTTTAAAAAGAAAATGTCTGCGCTTTTCTAAAGGCACATTAATTAAGAATAATGTAACAACAAGGGTGAAAAATAATTAAAATTAAATAAATGCTTTAAAATATAATTTTAAAAAATAATTCTTACGCGATTATAAATTTGAAATTAGTATTTTAAAAGTAAAATTAATCAGTAACAGTTAACCGGTAACTTATTTATTAAGAAAAAAAAATGAAATTAAATTTATAAAAGGTAAATTAATCAATAACAAAGCGAATTAGACACTCTTAAACGTAATTAACCAGCACGGTAATGAAATAGATATTTTTAAATAGAATTAAATCAATAACGAATATTAAATGGACATTTTTAAACGTAATTAATCATTTACAGAAATGAATTAACATTTTAAAACTCAATTAATCAGTAACAATATGAAATAGACGCTTTTAAATAGAATTAATCAATAACAGCACGAGATAAAATTGATACAAAATTAATCAATAACAATGATGAAATATACAATTTTTAAACAATCAATAAAAGAAAAAAAGACAAAATAGACAATTGTAAACAAAAATAATCAGTAACAAAAATGAAATTTACATTTTAAAACCTAATTAATCAATTTTAAAAATGAAATATAGGCCTATACATTTAGGTTAAACATAATTAAGTAGTAACAATGTGAAATAGAATTATTAAATAGAATTTAAAAAAAACAATTTTTAAGCACAGTTAATCAATATAAAAGAGGATTATACTGTTAAGCACAATTAATTGATGATAAATTTAAAATATATAATTTTTTAAACACAATTAACGGATATATATTTAAACATTTTAAACATAATTAAACAACGCTAATACTTTAATTAACATTTTAAATTTTTAATTAAATTAATAACAATATAAAAATAACGATTTTTATCGTATAAAATGAACTTTAAACACCCGTAACAAAGCAAATAATTGAGAAGGAAAATTAAAATTAACGTTTTAAAATGTATAAAAATTAATATGTATGTATATAGGCCTATATATATATATTATACAAATAAAAATAAAATGTAATCATATTTAAATTACCAGAAGTTTATAAAATGTTTTAAATGAAACCAGTCCTTAGTTAAACAGATTCCATTTTAATTTATGTAAAATCTTATATTAAGAGGTGTATAAACACCTAATAAAATAGATAATTAAAGCCGTATTAGACCTTATATCATGTTATTTTTATTGAGAGTAAAAAGATAAACGTCATTATGTGATAATAAATTTATTTATTTATTTATTTATTAGTTTTTAAGCGGTTTCCGCTGAGATAAGACAAATGCTTGTATTCATTTGCATTCATAAATATTCCGTACGTGATGCTTTCTGATCGTGCCTGTTTTGCGTTCACTCCAAACGCATTTATATTCCATTATTAATAGTCGTAAGAGGGGGGCAAGATCGACCAATTTAATTTTAATGTTTGCTTAATTAGGTTTGATTATACCCAGAGGCACTGTACTTAATTATGTTTATGTTATGCAGGATATCAAGCAGTATTAAGGGGGGGGAAAACTGATGTAGGGTAGTCATCGGGTCTGTGACGTTCGTATAATGAATTGGATCAGATTGTTCACATGTTATTTAGATCCTAGGTAGGCTTTAATTAATATAATTCGTGTTTTAGTTCGTACGCTTGAAATTTCAGGATGATTTTTACTTAAATTGATTTTTATAAGGCCTAAAATAAAATACTTTAGCTTAAAAAATACAGATTAAAAATTCATATTGATCGGTTTATAAAGCCTTATTTTAGTTCGTACGCTTGAAATTTCAGGATGATTTTTACTTAAATTGATTTTTATAAGGCCTAAAATAAAATACTGTAGCTTAAAAAATACAGATTAAATATTTATATTGATCGGTTTATAAAGCCTTATTTTAAACCTGTAGGCTACAGATTTATAATATCGAATTTATTATGAAATTACAAATCCTTTAAATTGAATTTTCATCGTTTAAATTTCGATTATTACGTTTAAAATTCAATAAATTTCACAGAAATAAAGTTGTCATTTTCACCATCTTGAATTTTAATTGTTGTAAAATTAAAGAAAATCAAGCAACAATTAAAAAATTTTAAAAATAAAATCGATTATAAATCAATTTCAAAGGCCACGTGGTAATAAATATGAAACGGACATTTAAAAATAGAATAAAAATAAAATAAAAATGGAAAGAAAGATATTGACGTTTTTAAATATTGTTAAAATTAACGTATTTAATTGTAATTAAAAATTTAAAAAAAAATACTTTCGAAATGATTACTATATTATTTATTAAGCGAGTTAAACTTTATTATAGCAGTCTTAAAGTTTATTTTAAAATTTAAAAGAGCGTATAATATGGCGATAAATTATATTTTTAAAAGGCTTTGAGACATTCACAACCTTTCAAGCTAACGTCACGGGGAATAACAGCAGTGGCTCTCTCTAGCGGAGAAATAAGGAAACAAATTTATATCTTCCGTTTTAAGTAAATTTATTCTTAAAAATCGAATTAAATGTCACAAAGCAATCCATAACAATTTTAAAAAATTAATATTTATTAAAATACTAATTAAAATATAAATAAGACTTGATATTATTTATTAGTTCTATTTTTTATTGTTTAAGATTTTTAAACCTTATTATTTAAAAATATATGTAAATTGCGGTTGAATTCGGTGGATAGACATATAAACAGATTAACTTTGAATTATTATATTTAATTAATTAAAATATCAACTTGTTTGTTCACTGTCAAAACTTTCCTCTTGAATGTTTGTATAATTGTTACCTAGGTAACATTTTTTGCGTGTTTATGAGCCATACTTCCAATAATTTGTTGTTCCAAGTATAGCATACTCACTCATAATTTAGACATATTACTAATGAACTGAACGACTAATTGTAAACATAATAAAAGTCTTTAAATGCCCTTTAATTTGTCATTGATACTGGCTGATTTTAAAAATAAATAATAAATTCCATTTTAAAAGTCATTTTTAAATTATCTGTTAGATTATAATTCATGTAGAATATGCATTAAAATGTTACACTTAAATTATGTGACTTAGTTACGTGAGTAACTTAATGCATTATTTTGTAAAAAAGTATTAATTTTTTTTTTACGTACAGTACAATAGTGTTTGCAGCAGTTACTATAAAGCTATAAAGCTGAAGCACTCTAAAGGGGGAGTTAACAATGTTTATTTTGTGGAGACATTGTTGTTATAATGGTAAAGTTTTATTTAAATTGCTACCTTTAATGAGTAATTTATATAGTATGTAATAGAGAATGCAGTTGTATATAATATTTACTTAAT